TGTTGCTTTAGTAGCTGCTGGACCCACTCCTGGCCGCCATGGCGGACGTGCCATTTACCCTAGACGCTTGGTCACAATTAAGCCTTGGCGAGCGGGAAGAAAAGTGGGAAGACACTTTTTTGGGCTAGCGGCTGCAAAGTTCCCAAAGCACTTGCCACCTTGGCTAGTGTGATCCTTCACTGCCAGTTGATGCCATTCAGGCGCTCATCTCGGGCGGCATTGCCGGAACAACCGTGGACTGCGCCTTGCATCCCTTGGACACCTTCCGAACGCGCCTCCAATCTGAGAAGGGCTTTTGGGCTTCAGGCGTTGCTTCGGCTTTTGCGCCAGGGTTTCAGATGGTTTTTGTCTAGTATGTTTCGTCAGCAATACCCGTTGATTCTTCCAATTACCATCCCACCCACCCGCCCTTTGTTTGGCCCGTTTGGCACACCCGCCACATTTGGCTTGCAGATCAGCATGGATGACCTGTTTTAAATAAACCCACTTCCGCACCCGCCAAGCGCGGGGACCGTGACGCATGACAGGTGGCTTCCGAGGTGCCTACAAAGGCATCCTGTCAGCGGCGCTGGGCTCTGCTCCTGGTGCTGCCATGTTCTTCTCCACCTATGAGACCATGAAGCAGGCGGGAAAAACGACGCAAAACGAAAAAAACGACCTCGTGAGTGGTGCCGAGTACACCGGAAACAAAAGGATCGCATCAGCCACCAACGGCAAAATGGAGTTCCGCAACGCCGGTTTGGGGAGAACTCCTGCTAATCTTCAGGTTTGAGCCGGAAAAAGGACAATTTGTGCCTTGTTCCCGTCAACCTCTCAGGTCTTCAAGAGCTTCTCTGGAGACCAGGCCAGGCCTGATGAGAGCAGAGATGCTACCGTTGATGGAGGAAATCGCAAAATCCTGGAGCACCCGGGAGAGTTAAGAGGGACTCACAGTCGGACTCACAGAGGCTGTCAGAGGCTCAGATCCTTGACGAAAGTCTTGACGAAAGTGCCAGGAGCATCCAATTCACCATGCAAGTGCCTCCGCTTGCGGGGAGGTCATGGCGTGCCTGGTGCGAGCACCCTGGCTGAAATGCCGATCGCTGCGAGTGTTTTGTGCTGTGTTCACGGGCAGCCAACAACAGCCGGGAATTTTCACGAATTGGCACGACAACCAAGTGAGCAAGTGGGTGAGTGACTTGAGTTGTTGATGTTGTTACTAAGTTTTCGAGGGCTTCAACAGCTTCAAGGGTGGAGATTCTTGTGAACCTGTTGATTGTAACTTGGTGGTTATGATGTCCAAATTCAGAGTATTTTTGGGCAGCCCTGAATCTGAATGCGAAGAAAAGGAAGGGCAGTTTGTTTAGCATGCCTTTGGGTGCTTGATTCCATTTCAAGCGGACAGGTTTGGTATTTGGGTCGGCTGTTGCACCTGGAGTGAGCTGATGGTTGCATGGTATAGCATGGTCTCACGCATAGATGAATCGTCAAGTTTAGCTGAGGTGCCAACCGCGAACATCACGCAGAACATGCAAGTTGGTCGGTTCACGCATCTCAGATGCACTCAGCAGCAAGCCAAGTCAGCAGTGAAGGCTCATGGAAGACACTAGCAGCCAAGGAGGCTAACAGAAGCCGTAAGCGCAATTAACAAGACCGGCGGACTTGGGGCATTCTATGTGGGTTATGGGACGATGGTGCTGACCTCAGGTAGCTAGACACCGCCTGAGTCGTGAAAGCCAGTGTTTATGTTTCAGACTGAACGTGATGACAAAGCATTTCACATTTGCATCCGGATGCCAAGAGGTGATGAGAGAAATTCCATTCTCCTTCATCCAATTCCCCCTCTATGAGAGGCCGGCAGTCCATGGTCGTGATTTGAGTGTCCTGCTTGGACTGGCTGGCCTCACATGGCCTGTCTCACCAGCCACAGGTTCAAGAAGATCATCGCAGACCGGCAGGGCAGCGAGACCACAGCTTTGCAAGGCCACCGAGCTGTGGCTGCTAGTGTTGACTTCGGCCGTTGACTGGCGGTTCTTTGATTCGAGACGGGCAGCCAACAACAGCCGGGAATTTTCACGAACTGGCAAGACAACCAAGTGAGTAAGTGGGTGTGTGACTTGAGTTGTTGCATGTCGTTACGTACTCAGTTTTTGAGGGCTTCAACAGCTTCAAGGGTGGAGATTCTTGTGAACCTGTTGATGGTACCTGGGTGGTTGATACCAGGTGGTGCAAGTGCCAGTGCCAGTGCCGCATCCAAGTGGCTGGCCGTTCCGTTGTGCTTCAGGCGCTGCTTGTGGATCGGTTGCTGGTGGCATTGCCGGAGGTGCCCCGATAGGTTTCCGAGGACGGTTGCGGTTGTGCTGCCGAAAAGAGCGAGTTGTAGAGTAGATCCTCGTAGTGGTCGTCAAGAAGAGAAGAACTACAAGAACTTAGTATCCTGGCAGGGTTCGAATCGGATCTTGCCTCGTGTTTGACAGCGAGACCATTGAATGCGACCTATGACCAAACTGCAGTCCTGGTTCTATCACGTTCTATCAAATTAAGCAACTGGCACCTGATTGTCAATGTTGTTTGAAGTCCTGACTTGGGTGACTTTTGTTGCATTTCATTGCATAACGGAGGCTAGCCGGCTAGCCGATATGAATCCTCCCGCTGACGAGGCAGCACCACACCCTTAGATGTGGCGAAGACGCGAATCATGCTGGAAAAAGTTGAAGAGGGAGTGGCAGCCTCAGATAAACGTGGTGGCATTTCAGGGATGGGAGGGCAAAGCAGACCAATTTTGATCGCCTTTGTTTACACATCATTGTTTGTTTACAGATCTCTCAAACGTCAGATGCTGGCATCCCTACGGTCCACATCGTAGTGGGCGCGAGTTGCCTTAAAACGATGTAGCCTTTTTGGGTGAGTTTCGGTCAATGAGTTGCCCAAGCATTTTGTTTTCTTCACGTCTTCACGGTCTTATTTGGTGCCTTTTTGGGTTGTCGTCTTGCCCACAGGCTGTTCGAAAGTATGGCGGAACCCTCCAAGCTCTCAGCACAATCTTTGCTGAAGAAGGTGTGCAAGGCAGGGTGCTCCAGGAGTTGCTGGGGTGGAGACCGCGTGAACCGAGACCACGTGGAGGCTAACGGCTAACGAAGAATCCGTCCTACGTGTTAGAAACAGCACAGGTATAGATATGACCTGGACATATTATATACACCGACGGCCTATATCACACACACAGATATATATATATATATACATAGATATATTATCACATATATATATATAAATATGTATATGCATGCGTCTTCTCTGTGAGTCTGTGAAGGTCTCAAAAATCAACAAGTCCACAAAAAAATCACTTTGTTTCGCAGTACCGACCAAAGAGCCAGGCCTCTTCAAAGGCATTGGTCCTCGGGTGACCTGGATCACCGTGGGCGGTTTCATCTTTTTCGGAGCGCCCATGCCTCAAAATGCTTTCGTTGCTTCAATCAATCGGTCACGGTCACGATTTTCGGATCGTCGACGTGACGCCCAGGTACGAGGGAGCACAGAAGTGCCTTGGATGTCCTTTCCGGCGTTTTTTGGGGCTTTCTCGTCCGTTGTTCATGTCCCTTTTGGTGCTGTTCTTCCTCGGTCGACCGAAAACCGGGCCGAGGGGACTCCAGCGGACCGGCCTTTGGTGAGCGCCACGCGTGTGGCCGCACTACGCGGCCGAGCGGCCGAAACGCTTCATTCTCTTTGTGGGAGCTCCCACCAGTGGGCGACTTGACCCACTCAATCCCAAGCAACAATGGAAGAATACCCAGTCGAGTCGTGGCTTTGACATGCACAGCGGGTGCACATCGTGAACACCACCCTTTCTGAGACACACACAGTACTTTCCACACTGCGTTGTCAGAACAAGTGCCAAAGATGTTGAAGCCAGTGCAACTCTCTCCGTGTTGTGTGGTCCACGTCTTAGAGGCCAGTAAAACGCGCGCCTTTCTTCGTTGGCTGCTTTCAATTTTGAGATTGCACCTCCCTGCCGTGCGATGCCAAGCAGCCTTGAGGGAGGATTGCAAGCGATTTTCTCAGTCCAGGTGATGGATAGCTTGAAACGGACGTGCGGTGAAAAGGATCAGCTGCAGCAGGGCATCAGAAGATTCGGATCCAACATGGTCCAAGAATACCTTCGTTTGACCACCTGCTTCTCCCCATTGGGAGGGGCTTCTTGACCAATCGCACATACACAGGGCGACAGAGCCGGGATCGAGGCTGCCATTCAACGAGGCACGCTGGAACCGCATTAGTTGCCGTGAACTTTATAAGAAGCAACTGGTCGACGGGCTAGTTTGAACACTTGGGTGATTTTGAGTGAAATACAGTAGAGCCTATACGGACTAGTGCAGAGAGCCTTTTTTGACTGGGCGCGTTGACCGTCTTGTGCCGCGGGGACCCCAGCGGACCAAACAACGTGTTCTCGATGTTTTTGGAACCTCTTACAGCCCAAGGGCTAAACGTGAGTGGATTGTTTTCCCTGGATTTCAGTGCCTACTCAACTACCATTTGGCTTGCTTGCGCCTTTGCTCGTGTCCTTTTGTGAACAGGTGCTTCGATTGAGGAGGTGCGGGTTTTGAAAGAAACAGATGAAACCAAGAACCGTGATAGGATCTGGGGTGGCTGATGGATATTTGAACTGCTTTCCGAGAGTTGAGATTAGCAAGAATCCATGGCCCTCCTAAAAAAATACAGATGTTGGACTCTCCTGACTAGTTGACCAACAATAAGAGGTGTGAAACCTGACTCAGCCTGAGCCAGCTCATGCTGGTTAGGTGGCCGTGACGGCCGTGAGTACAGTAAATCCTATACCGTGCTTTGTGGCACATGCCACCACGTTTGAACCGTTTTTGAACCGACGCGGCGCGCGACTTGGTCCAACACTTTGTGCAACACAACTTCTTTGAGTCCCGTGAGTGAAGTCAAAAGCTGGCCAGGTTGACATCGAGGGTAACACGCCTTTGCATGTGGCCGTGGAGGCCTTTGCGAGCTGATTGTCACATGCCATGGGCTGGCTTGGACTTCGTATACCCACCGGCATGAGCTTAAGACATCTTAAGACCTCTATGTTGGTGTGTGTGTTTTTGGTTCTCGTTGTCCAATCTGATGGAGAGGAACGGAGACGGACAGACTACAATGTAAGAGTTTCCGAGGATAATGGAACCGTCAACGCGCCAAAGTCTTGGTGGCCCACACGAAAAGGTGACTAGTGAATCTAGTGATTAGATGTCCTTGCACGCAGGATTGTAAAATCTCTTGGCCTGGGGCACGCAGCACGCACTTATCTCTTTACCTAGGGGGTTGAAATATCTTTTAATCATCAGCAAGGACGCTACTAGTAGCTCCTGGCATTACTACTAGTAACAAGAAGCTACTAGTAACAATGGGCATCGCTACTAGGAGCCAGGACACCACTAGTTGTTTGAGATTTCTTGTTGGACCGGCACGACGCATGTGCGCCGCATGGCCAGGCCCCCCGGAATGAGATCGCCACGGTGTCCTGCCTCCTGGAAAACATGGCCAGCTCCAGAATTCCGAACGTGTAGGATCATGCAGGATCACAGTATTTCAATTTCACTGCATGTTCTCGGAATGGCAAGAACCGTTTCAGGAACCCAACCAACGGCCAGGCCAATCCGAATGTGCAGAACTACATGGGCGCTGCACCCTTGCACTATGCCGCGTGCCCGGTTTGATGCAGTGGCGCCTTTCAGCGCCTACACCGGCGCCTTTGCAGGTGTGCCTGAGAAAAAGCAACTGGAGAGGCATAGCAAACCTATTGCTGGAGAATGGAGCGCCTGGCTGTCTTGTGTTTGATTCTCCCGGCTAGAATGCGAGTCCAACCTTTTTGCCAAAAGCTGCTGGAGTCGCTGCAGGAGCTGACATCGATTGCCAAACCTTTGGTGGAAAATCTGCTCTCCATTTCGCTGCTGAACACCAGCTACCGGAATTGGTGGAGGCACTGTGCAGCCGACAGGATGCTGTGATGATGTCTCCATTTTAGACCTCTTTATTAAGCCGGCAACGTGTCAGGTGCTTTGCTTGTTTGGCGCCGATGCAAATTTGCTGGATGCCAAAGCCAACACGTTTGAAGCTCAGCTCTAGATGTGGTTTGGCAACAAAATGCTTTTGTAATCCTCGCAGGGTCTTTCTATGTCTGTGCGGGTCGGGACTTGACGCACCTCGGAGCCGCCCAGGGCGATGCACCTGGCCCTGGCAAAGGCGAGGTTCTCCGATGAAATGCTCAGTGAAACGACCCCACAAAAGGCCGCAGAAAGTGACTTCTGTGCCACAAAAAGGCCCCAAGAATGGCCCCAAGATCCAAAGGGAAGAAGCACGGCGAGTTTTCTCTTTTTGAGCTACCTCAGTTCTCCTACGTTTTGAGACGAGCAAATGATGAGCCGCCAGAGACACAGGTGGGTGGCAGAGACACAGTGAAGAAGCAAATTCTGGAGCAACTGGTTTCTGCATCTGCTTGTTTCCAGGCACGGTCCAAACAAGCGACTTTCCGAACCATGAAGTTGTGACTGGTGTTATGATGTGTCGTGTTGATCTCAGGTGCACAACCTCAGTGGCCTGGCCCCATTGCACTTGGCTTGCGCGAAGCTTGGGGGTTATGACTTATAACTTATAACAGAGCAGCAGCCATGCATGTGCAAGCTGATATTGGCAGTTGACTTGCTAGAGGATAAACGTAGCCTCACTAAGACAGACCAAGGCAGTTCAATTGTTAGGTGTGCGGTACTCTTGGCCAATCCTGATAGGCCAACAACAGTGAGGAAAGACAAATTGCTCGCATTTGTCAGGTTCCACTGGGGCAATCAGATGTGCATGAGCCTGGGTTTCGTTGAGAGAAAACCATGTCAGTCCATTTTACGGCCTGCCTTTGGCTTCAACAGCACTTGCTCCCTGCTCTGCAGGTTCAATTTCTGATTGAATCGGGGAGTGACATTCTCGCAGCTGCCTTGGGCCAATTTGCAATGTGATATATATATATATAGTTGAAGCAGTGCAGACTTAAGTAGCAGCAAACTGTTAAGTGTGAGTTTTTGATGTTTATATAACTGTTTCGGAGGGGATCTAGACTAGAAAGATGATGCAAGAATTTAAACATCTAGCAGTTCATCCGTCTCGACTGCCCTTCTCTACTCCGTCTCGCGCATCAGCAGCTGTCGGTCAGTGGAGGCCACCACAGCAGCTGGCGAGAGTGGACTTCATTTGGCACCAGCCTGAGATGCTTCGCGCGCCACCACACCCGGGTAGGTGGAGGCCCCCATCATGGCGCGTCACCACACCCGGGTGGGGAACGAACGAGGCGAACTGGGAGGAGTGTAGTCACTGCAACCTCCTCAAGGGGGTCATAGAATCTCTGTAATCTATTGTAGTCTCCTCGACGCTGTCACAAGTTTATACTTTTTTAAACGTGTCCAGTTTATGTAGAGTCGGGATTTTCGAATTAGGCGAAGCATACCCTGAATTACCCTGAAGCATGCATACCCCCAATTCAGACCCTAGTGTCTTCGCACCTCATGCGAAGCATACCCCGAAGCATACCCATATTCAAACATCCCGCGGCCCGGTATGCTTCTCCGCCTTTGCGGCTAGTGACTATACGATCCCGTTTTCCACCAGCCAACGGCTGGGTTTCTGCAACGCCTCGACTGCCCTCCTGTGTTGCCATCACATCCCGGTACCTCGAACAATGCGAAGGCCTGTGCGTCGGGCTTTGCAGAGGTGCGATGGCGCACACGTTGAGTGAGAAGTAGCGAAGCCGCTACTTCTTGAGACTTCTTTACCAAGACATGAAGACACTGACAGGTGGTTCAGCTCTTTATTCATCATGCCTTCCGGCTGATCGATGTGCAGGACGGCTGAGAAACCATCGTTTACAAGTAGCCCGCCCCATATGGCTTGCCGGTGTCAGAAAGACTGCAGGTCATGCCATGTTGTGTTGTCAAACATGGAAACATCATGCAACATCGTATGAGCATTGGTAATCCCATTGTCAATCTGATCCTTTGACTGATCCCATGCCTCGACGACTCTTTTGTCCTTTTTCCTTGTCATCAGGATGCGTCCGGTAACACGCCTTTGCACGTCGCCGCGGCGGAGGGGCATCTAGAATGTGCCTTGATCCTGCTGAGGAGCCACGTGTCACACACTGAAACCATGGTGAAACAAACGAACGAATGAACAATAAAAGTGCGGCACGACGAGCTTGGAGATGGCAGTGCAGCTTTGTTTTCGTGTGGAGAGATTGTTGGGGAGGAATGGTGCAGAGGTGGACTTGAAGAACAACCAGTCCCTTCATCCGAAAGGGGGACGGGAAGCTGAGATGCTCCGGTTTGATCCGAACAGCTTGCTCACATATGAAGCAAGGGGGCGGCCTGTGGAGAGGCCTTTCTCTTCATGGTAGTTATCCTTCATTCTGTATGGTGGGGCCAAGAACAAAACTCAATAGTGATGGAGCAACACAACTTTGTGAAACAGCAGATATATGTGAGATCATGTCGTTTGAGTGGCGCCATATAGTATAGTTTTGTCATGACCAGCAGCTTGGCGAACGACGCAAGCTTATTCAGTGGCATGAAGTGAGAATTCCCTAGAATCGGGTGTTTATGCTGCTATTGTCGTGCATATCTTTTGTCCGCACCTGCCTGCCAGGTGAGGGTTGTTAGATTTTATCAGAGCTGTTCCACTCCTCCTCCTCCTCCTTCTCCTCCTCTGCGTCCTCCTCACTCGCTGGATCACAGTGGGCACCGGCACTGCTGGACCTTGACCGCAAGTGCTAGATTGGAGTCAGCCGGGCCTCGACCAGATACAAACATGATCCAGAAAAAGTGATGTGATTTCCGGCTGTAGACAAAATGCCAGAAACATGTCAGCAATCACGCCAGGTAGAATGTGAACATATTCATTATGGCCACTAGAATGCCAGAACATATGCCACATAGAATGCCAGATAGAATGCTAACATAATTCCCAGATAGAATGCCACAATATATGCCACATACGGTAGAATGCCAGAGCGTATGCAAGATAGAATGCATGAATCTATGCCAGGTGGAATGCCGTAACATATGCCAGTATATATGCAAGATGGACACTTTGTTGCTGATGTTGAAGCAATATAGCCGTCGGCTATCAGCAGAATATAATGCCATGGTGGGGATCACTCGAAGCATAGTTCTGTTTGGGGGGTGAATTTGGGTTCATTGTGGGTGCGGGGGGTGAATTTGGGTTCATTGTGGGTGCAGGCTCATTCTGGGTGCGTTCAGGTGACGTACAAAAGCAATACTGGCACAAGGTAGTGAGGTTACATTTCCAGCGTTGCTGAACGATCATCATGAGAGGGGTGTGGACATCGCTGGTCGTTCTCTCCCTTCTCACGGTCTCTATGGTTCAAAAATTCTTAAAGTGGAATGGGCCCCAAGATGTACATAGCAGATAAACAGGACATGCAGCTTTCGGCCGAGCCTCAGGTCTTTGACTGCCTACGAGGCCCCGTGCCACCCCCTTTATTCTGCGCGTGCAGAGTGGTCGTGGCGCGGCCGCGGGTGTCGATCCGCGAGCAACGCCGCAGGTGTCGACGGCGAAAGGGCAGGACCTGGCCAGCAGACATAACCCGGAGCTGATGCAGGTGCTTGTTGGGCCTGTGTGTTTGATGGAGTAGCTGTGATCATCGGAATGCATCGGGTGCTGTTGGTGCCAGTGCAGGGCCTTGCTCTCAACTGAAGGGCAACATCAACCAAGATTGAGCCATCAAGTTATTGGTTCACGCATTTTTATGTCTTTAGATTCAGATGCCTCGGCTACAGCTCTTGCTTGGCCAGGTTCTAAGAGAGGCGCAGAAGGAGAAAGGTTGCAGACAGAGCTAATCTGCTCCCCGCGATCACAGCGGGGCCTTTTCCATGCAGTAATAGAGCATTCCAAATCCCAGGCATGTTTCAAAAGAAACTGGCCTCACTTCCTCTGCCTAGAGAGCAGGTTGGTAGGTATGTCAGACTTCTGACCCAACACTTCTCGATCGCTCGCGGAACACCGTGCCCACAGCTTGCCAGACTGCTTTTGTGGAGTTGTTGCTTTCTCCATTTCCTTCCAAAAGCAGAGCTTTGCCACAACCAGTCTGACTGGGATTGGTTTGCCACCAGTGTGCAGGCCTGGTCCATGAGTCATGGGCTGTGAGGCTCGCCAAGCTTCGTTTTCTTTTGCTGGCCCAAGGCACACAGTGAGCAAAGTGAGGAAGTTCGATGATGTCAAACTGAAAGCAGGTCATGTTGGTTTCCATCAGGTTTCAAGACACCCTTTTACTCACTCATTTGCTGGCAATGTGCATTTAGCGCAAGTTGTAGCCCATTCGTAACAGCCTCGGGTACTGACGGTGTTGTTTGCACGTGTGTTTGGTGTGGAATTCAACTGCATCGGGTACCCCTTCGCCATGGCAGCCATGATCCAGTTCAATGGGTCCTATGTGACTCAAGCGGTTTGGCGCTCACCGATTCCAGCTCGACATGCTGTTCAGTACAGATCCGGAGATGCCTCACCTCCGTTGACGGCACGGTTGAGCCCTTCAACTCCACCACCATCAGCACGCATTCGCAATGTCCATGGACCTGTCACCACTTCGTCCTGGTCAGAACAACTGAGTTACTCAAATCGTACTGTGAGTGTGAAGAGTGCAGAGACTGCCAAGACATGTGTGCCACCAGTGGTGTCGCTCACAAGAGGCCAGGGCCCGGTGACTTATCAACGAGTACAGCCCAAAATCGCCACGGAGGTGCCAACCGGGCCCTGCGGCCCTGCGATCAAGAACAGACTTGATGGCTTTTCCGTGAAGGCACCACCTGAGCCAGAGGCTGTGTCCTCTGCACCTCTTCCAGGTGAAGAAGCTGGAAATAGTGGAGCACCCAATCCAGAGGAGGTGCCCTTGTGGAACTCATCAGAGACTTCCAGGTCGCCCAATCCCTTCGATGATGGAGATGAGCAAGCCTTTGAGTCACCCGAGCCCAAGGAGATTTGCTGGACTCCGTCTTTCACATCGCTCAAGGAGAAGTCCTTCGAAGAAAACGTGTTGGAGAAGTCCTTCGAGGCCAAGCCAAGCCGGGTTTCACTAGCACCTACAGTGCATGAAGCAGTTTCTGAGATGGACCTTGAAGGGGATGAGGGCTACTTGGGGAATGATGTCGAGCCCGAGCAGGTCCAAGAAGACGGGCAGATGACCAAAGCAATGCCAGATGTGAGTCATGCGAGTTGTAATGACCAAGTCAGCGCCCTTCTCCGAGAGATCTCTGAACTGCGAGCAGCAGCAGTGGAGGAGGTGAAGACTAGGACAGAACTAGAAGCTTTGCAACATCAGACAGCTGAGCAGCTCAGCAGCTGCCAGACTCAAGTGGCGCAGATGGCACAGGAGTTGAAGAAGTCCAAGGCAGAGCGTGATTATTTGAAGAGTCGCTTAGAAGAGACCTCTGAGAACCTCGTGGAGCTCACCAAGCGGCTTCGCAAGGAACAGGAGGTCAACAAATCTTTGGACAAAGAATTGAACAAGGCAGAAGCTGCTCGGCTAGACCTCCAAAATCAACTCGAGCGCTTCCAGTTCCAGGTGCATGAAGATCAACCACAGGCAATGGCAGAGTCTTTGGATTCAAGCATTGCCTCAGCACCCGACCTTGAGAAAGAGGCCTTGGAGGAGGAATTGGAGCTGCCCACTGCTGGTGGCCTTCTGCGCGAATGGGCCAACGTCTATGAGGATGTGACCGAACCCCGGCCGGTCCTACTCAGGCGGAAGCAATGGGAAGTTCCAAAGGCGGGCAAACGCATTGGCCGCGCGGAGGTCTCGGAGGGTACTTTGTCCATGCGCGATCTGTCAGAGATCAAAGCTCTGAAAAAGCCACCGGTGCCAGTGCGAATGCTGATGGAAGTTTGTTGCCTGCTGCTTCACATTGAGCCAGTGAAATGCTTCGATGAAAGTGCCCGCAAGCGGCTTGACTACTGGGAGCCTGCGAGGAGATACTTGCTCTCAGACCCCTTCTTGCTGTCGAAGCTCCG